AACTTGGCCTATAACAACTTTAATGGGAGTGCCAGTGGGAAACAGTTCCGGTCTTTATACGGTGTATATGTTCTACAAAAAACTGTATACAATTAGTTTTGGATTTAGAAAATGTAAAACCGTTTTCAAGACACCATTTATTTATTTTATTTAAACACAGCTGCAATTGTCGTTCAATAGTATGCATATTCTTACCGCGACAAGAAATATTAAAATCATCCACAAAAGTTATCCATCAATTGAATCGGTTTAAAACCTTGATAAACTGTTGATCTTCATACTAAATAAAGTGTCAGACAAAATAATTGCCCTTGTGGGGACACCCTGATCCTGATTGTAATGTTCAGATAGGGTTGAACCTACCGGACTTGAAATTGCCTGTCGGTTAAAAAAAACTGTGATATAAACTGAGGCAAACAACCCCGTAAGCCAAAATCATGCAAATCTTTTAAGATGTCGTGCTTCCAGGTGGTATCATAAGCTTTTTCTAAATCGAAAAAGATTGACACTGCATGTTGCTTGTTAATAAAGGCATTCATAACAAATGACTCCAATCGAACTAAATGGTCAATGGTACCTGCATTGTTTACGAAAACCACATTGAATATTTGTGCTTAAATTATTAGATTCCAGGTACAAGTTAATTTGTTATTGACCATGCGTTCCATGGTTTTGCAAACACAGCTAGTTAAAGAAATGCGCCTATAATTAGATGGATCGGTATGGTCACGTCCAGGTTTGGGTATGGTACAACCATGGCATCACGCCAGGATGAAGGAAATGTATCTTGTGAGTCTGGTATACAATACTCAAGAAGCGCTTCGCTACATGTATAACTTAGAATGTATTTTCTATTCTAACCTTTTAGAGCTGTGTTATGATGTTCTCAGTATCTGAATTTCCGTTTTGTTGAATTTCTTCCGCATTGAACGACACAGATGTTTCATCCGGTTTTCTATGAGGCGAACAATACCAGTTGTTACGCTGCCAATGTACCTCCACGCGTACAGCCATATGCTACTTGCCGCCACTCACTAATACAGGTTTTCAGATGACCCTGGGCATCACCCGCAAATTAGGGGAATGCGTTGGTTGCATTGGGATTTTCTAAGTTGTATTTTGTTAAACGAGTAGTTTTTGGTCCTCCAAACATTATATCAGAATTGTTTAAGCAACATCCAAGCCTAGTGTGGCACTGTTCGATAGCTTTGATGTGGTGAGTTGTATGGACAACAGTTAAAGTCGGTTCACTGCCCATCACCACTGTTGATGCACCTTAAGTACAATATAGCGATGACAGTGGAGACTGATACAGAGGTGGGAATACACTCTAACCATGGAAGCAGAATAACCGCTCATGAAATAACGGACTTGGTGCAGTCAGAAAGTATGCCATATTAAAGTGTACGTCAGTCTGTGGAGACAGTTGCTCACAACATCCTTACATTTCTGAAGTACATTACGTACATCATGAACTTTGATAATTACATACACACCCCAAAAAGCAATATATTTGCAGTTTATCAATCAGAAATGTAACTTCAATGTTCTCGGCGTGTGGTCTCTGTGTAGTCATTGGTTATATGGCAGGAGAAATATTCAATCGTCCGAAAAAAACGACATTTCGCAAATGGACAAGAGAAACATCCTATAACAAGACATATATTACTTGTTCCCCAAATTGAAAGGCGCCTCCTCATGAAAATGCTTGGGTACAGAGCGACAGTTTTTAACTCCATTCAAGGTAAATGCATACCCCTGACGTATGGTCTGTTTAGTTGAAAATGGTACCGATGAATCAAAATCTAACTACACATCGGTTCATGATTACACAATCGTTCCAACGCCGAATGTATATAAATCGAAAACATCACACCAGCTCTGGAAAAAATCATAACGATTTGTGTCCAAAATATACAAGCTACTTAACAAACCATCATAATTCTGTTTTGATTTTCCGTGTGAAGTTTTTAACGAGGGTAAGGTAATAGTATTACTCTTTGCAGGTACAGCCCTCATGAACTAATTTGGAGTTCGACTGTGATTCATTGATATCATTTTGTCAGGTTTTTAAGACGGTTCGTCATTACATATCTTCGAAGTGCTCCTGTAAAATGACAGAAAGTCACCTATGGCCTCATGCTTGTTGTGAGAGGCGACTAACGAAATCATATGTGGTTGAGTTTACTGGCTTGGTGGACGCATGGCATCGTGTCCAATCGTGGAGATGGATGCTCATGATGTTGATCACTGGATTTCCTGGTTCAGACTCAGTTGTTTACATGCCATCGTCATGGTGCTATACAATTACTCAGTTTGAGCAAAATAGAAACCCAAACAAATCACACGCCACAGCGTATTCATAATTATTCAATTATTTTCTATACAAAAAAAGCGTCAGGGTTGCAATAAAAATATGGGTTATTAGTTTTCTATCACAGGACTGGATGATCCTGTTACGCTAACAGACAGACAGTCACTTTGTTTATTTAGCGGTATATTTCTGCCAATGGCTTAGTCTCCCTGAACAGGAGTGGTAACTGGTGGGTGGAGGGGCATGAGGCAAGCAAGAAAAAGCATGCAGTATGGCGCGAGAGGACAGTGTGCATCGCTGTGGGGAGAAAAATGATGTACGAGTACGGCTTCTTCATCGTATTTGATTCTGCCATGAAATCTGTGAGTAATTATGTTTGTATATGCATGTATGGTATATGAAAGTAATGATTTATATAAGTTCACTTAGTAGCCCAAATCGTTTTGATAAGTTACCAATAATGGTGTTGTGGAGGCGTGCGTGACCACCTATCTTGAATGATAAGGAATATTAAGATAATAAGTGAATTTGTATCGTATAAAGGTCGTTTTGGACATAAGGGTATTTTCAATAAGGTTATATTTTGTATGGTTTCAGCTTGAACCCGTTTCCGCTGTGATATAATTTATTGAAGTGTACTCACGTAAAACTACCACGGAATACGGAATAAAGCAGTGTCTAAGAATCTGGCAGAATCGATATTGTTGACTATTGAAAGTGACATTTAGTTCAAGAAATTTCAACGACTGTGAGTTACTACTTTTCACTGGAATTACTTCGTGGAATCTGTGAATAATAATGGCATTTATGAGGTGTGAGGATACAGATAGTGGTATTGCTTGGAAGCAATAAAGCATCATCGCCAAGAAAGAGGAGGCATTAAAGCTGCTCTTACAAGTAAAATGAAAAAGATTAGAGACTTTGATGAACTCAGGAGAATGTGGGTGAAGTTGAATCTACATCTGGGAGCGTAATAAAGCCAAGTTTTGAATAAGTTATGGATCAAGAACACTGAATTGCTTGGAAGCTGTTGTAAATAATCCAGAAGAGATTGTTGATGCCTAAAAGATACATGACCGAGGTTCAAGGTGAATTATGATGAGCTCGAAAAAATGAAGTGAAGGTTTGGTTGGATACACAGGTAGGAAAAAGCTGCCTTACTTGCGAAAGCTTAGTATGTTAGAGAGACAACAATCATTTCGCAAAGAGACAGCAAGCTGAAATACAGTTAGCAATAAGAGAAACTAGGAATTAGAGTGTGAAATACGAGGCAACAGAGGCTTTGAAGAAAGATATATGAAGAGCTCTTGAAGCTGAATCTAACTCAAGGGTTGCCATGCTCACAAACAGGAAGCGGGTCAATAAAGGACATTGATAGGAGGTTACATAGTCAAGATTTATGAACAACAACAACACACTTATCTCAAGTCATCAGCTGGATCATGGGTTGACAGGAGCTCCTGCAGATAATATATACATGATGACCCAGGTAAATCCGGGCTTACGTGCAATAATAAATGTAAACCCCACTATTAGTGAATCATTGTCAATCCCATCAGTCCGAATTCAAACATGATACTTATGCAACATAAGATGTTAGAGGTAGTGCAGCTACCAAAAGTGAGTTGGTCAAATCTGATGGTGACCCATTGAGATACTGGATGTTCATAAGGTCATTTTAGACCAACGTTGCTCAAACCTCAGACCGAAAAGTGGTGCTTAAGTTGAACCGATTGCTGAACTACTGAGTTGGCAAGGCTTTATCTGTAATAGACATGCTGTTCCGTCGTGGATCCTGATGAGGGGTATTTAGGAAGCCCTGAGACTCTCTCAAGACAAGATTCGAAGTCAACATGTCATAGCAAATGCCTGGGTAAAGAAGATCAGTGAAGGTCCATGGTTTCGGCCTCCTGATGTAGAAGGATTGGCGTAACTATGCAGATGATCTCAGGAGTGGTATGTGCTTTACACTAAAGGCCATAGCAAAGTTACTGAGGTGGACAACCAGGATGTGTATGGTAAAGATTGTATCACGGTATCTGCTCAAGGAAGATGGAGGAAGAAGGCAGTTGAACACCTCGAAGCAACAAGGAGAATATCCTAGTATAGAACAGCTGGTCGACTTTGTTCTACGGGCTGCTGAAGAAGCCAGTGATCCAGTATTTGGTGTTGTGACTGGAAACAGACTGAAGGATGAAACTACACTGAATAAAACTAAGATCCTTTGAGAAGAAAGGTGTTCCAAACCAATATGAACAATAATCACCCATCAAGTCCATGTTCAGGTTTTCCAGTGCCAAAGTGTCCACTATGTAGCGGAGAACATGCACTTTCGTAATATGTGTGAAGTTCAGGGACATGACACCTGAGAAGAGACATGAATTTGTTGTTGAAAATAGATTATGCTTCAACTGTTTTTCGAATAATCACATGTCAAGAGACTGTCAAACCAAGCAAATGTCAGGTGCAAGGTTGTATGAGAAAGCACTCAAGATTAATACATCTTCTGGTGAAACCCTGAAACCAATGTTCATCAAACATATCTTAAACAGAGAAGCCTGAGGTCTGACTGGTCCTAAAACAAAACAAACCATTTGAGGCTGAAAGTTCTGCTTGCAACATTGCGGTGCACAAGTCTCTGCGAAGACTGGTAACAGAAACATATGGACATATGCCTTGCTCGACAATGGAAGCACTAACTCATTCTGTAGCAATGAACTCTTTGATGAACTTTGGAGTGGATGCTTCTGAAACAGCTCTATTACTGACGACACTGGAGAAGGTGAACAGCAAAACAAATGCCAGGGTGGGTCCTCTATTGATAACAGACGCAGGTAACAGAACAACCATTGAACTGTGACATGTATTTGGAACCTCAAATCTGTGCATTGGTAAACATGATTCTGTCCATGAACAGAACGTTGATGAATGGCAGCATTTAAAGACAGTATGGTCTTCCTTCCTAACGTGGACAGAATGCATGTGGGTCTTATAATTGGTCAAGATGTTCCAGTGGCACTGACACCTATTGATGTGCGAAAGGGAAAACACAATGAACCTTTTATGCTGTAAAACCGCATTGGTGGGTTCTTAATGGCCCACTGAGAGATATCAGAAATGATGAAGTCATTTCATTTTTTGTGCATGTTGATCAAAGACTTGAGGCTCAAGTTGAAAGATTCTGGAAAATAGAAATGTGTGAATCATTGTCAAACAATAATACATGCACGAATGTCTCCAGGAAGACAGACGGGCGATTAAGATATGGGATGAGTCTGCAGAAGTTGTGGATGGTCACTCATGAAATCAGAATACCATTCAAGAGCAGGCCACCCAATGTAAATAATAACTATATTTGAAAGCTGAGAGTCGCCTTGAGTCACTTAGCAAACGGTTGTCAAAGGATGACAGGTTGTTTGCGAAAAATATCAGTCGGGAATCAAGGAATTGATCAACAGAGGGTATGCAGCAAAGGTGATGGAAGAGGATATTAACAAGCCAGGCAAAGGAGCATGGTATATTCCTCAACACGCAGTTATAAATGAGCATAAACCAGACAAATTAAGAATCGTTTTTGATTGTGCAGCAACGTATTGTGGAACCAGTCTGAATGATCAAGTCTACCAGGGCCCAGATCTCACGAACAAGTTGATAGGAGTGTTATTGAGATTTCGTGAAGGCCCCATAGGCGTTATGGGTGACATAGAACAGATGTTCCATCAGGTGAGGGTACCTGAGGGTGATCGAGACTATCTAAGTAAGGTTTTGTGGTTCTCAGATAGTGGAAACATTCAACCAGATGTTTACCGCATGACTGTGCACTTATTTGGAGGGGTGTGGAGCCCAAGTTGTGCGAGTTATGCACTTAGACGCACTGCAGAGGATAATAGTGCAACCTATGACCCTAAGGTTGTGCAGACTGTTCTTGAAAACTTCTACGTAGATGATTGTCTCAAGTCATTAATGACAGAAACTGAAACAATTAAACACGTTCAAGATTTGTGTGCTCTTGTATCGCATGGTGGTTTCAACTTGAACAAGTGGATAAGCAACAGCAGAGAAGTGCTTCAATCCATTCCTGAAGAACAGAGAGCAAAGGGGGTTAAAGGAGTTCACCTAATTGGAGGTAGATTACCTCAAGAAAGAGCTCTAGGAGTTCTTTGGTACACTGAGAACGATGAGTTTAGTTTCAGGATTAACATAAAGAATAAACCAAACACAAGAAGAGGATTAATGAGCATGATTGCGTCAGTGTATGATCCACTGGGGTTCGTTAGTCCATATATCCTGAAAGCAAAGAAGGTATTCCACAGTGAATCAAGACTGCGTAAAGGCTGGGATGAAATCTTGAATCAAACAAACATTGAGAAATGGACAAAGTGGACAGAAGACTTGCCAAAGCTGGAGAACTTTAAGTTGTCCCGAAGTGTGATCACTTATGCGTCAGAAGATGTTGACTATGAATTGCATCATTTCTCAGATGCTTCCTCTGAGGGATATGGTGCTGTGTCATACCTGAGAGTAGTGAAGAATGATGGACCATTTCAATGTTTTTTTGCTAATCAGCAAGTCCAGGCTGGCACCATTGAAGAAAATGACCATACCACGTTTGAATTGTCAGCTGCAGTCATTGCAGTAAAGTTGGACGTGATGCTTCGTCAGGAGCTGAAGGTCAAAATTAGCAGATCGGTATTCTGGAGACAGACAGTACAATTTGTGATACACTACATCAGGAATGAAAATAAACGTTTTCATGTTTTCAAAGCAAACAGGATAGCTCTTATCCATGAGAGTTCGAAGCCAAACCAATGGAGACATGTGGGCAGTGCAGAAAACCCCCTGCTGATGATGTGTCACGAGGGCTGGATGCCGACCAAATGGTGTCTTCTGAGAGATGGAAACATGGTCCTGGGTTTCTGCTTCAGTCAGAGTCTGAATGACCAACGAATGTCAGTCTCAGTCTAGAAATTCCAGAGGGTGACAAGGAAGTTAAAAAAAGGCTGTAACGAATTACAGATCTGGGCTAAGCAACTGTAGCGACCCGCTGAGTGACTTGTTTGAGAAATACTCCTCATGGCATAGCCTGAAACGAGCTGTAGCATGGATTCTGAGATTAAAAAGGATTCTCTTTAATAAGACTCAAGAACTTGTTAAACCCGACGTGTCGGGAAACAAATGTTGAGTTCAATGAGAATGTTGACGCATTTTGACACAGCATGATTACTGTGCGGACTGTAACAATACTGACCTTTTATCTGCACCAATTACCAGAACAGAAATAGAAAATGCAATCAAAGTTTTAAAATCTGGTAAATCCCCAGGTATTGATGGAACACCACCCGAATTCTTCAAACATGCTCAATGCATACTTCCTACCTAGAAATATTGTTTAATGCTATACTGACAGCAGCATTTTTCCTGATATCTGAATGTTGGCTTGATCATTCCGCTCTATAAAAAGGAAGCACTCACGAACCAAATAACTATCGTGGAATCTCTTTGCTGAATGTAATGGGGAAAATATTCACTTCTATCCTCGAAGTCAGAATCCGTATCTGGTTAGATTTAAACGATATATTACATGAATGTCAAGCAGGGTTTAGGCCCGATTACTCATCAGCTGATAATATGTTCGTTCTGCAAGCTCTATGCCAAAAGTATTTAAGAAAACGTAGACATCGGTTTTACGCAGCTTTCATTGACTTTCGGAAGGCCTTTGATTATATAGACAGAAACAAGCTTTTATATGCTCTTATCTCCAAAGGTATGCATGGGAAAATAATACGAATCCTCAAAAACATGTATGATAAGGTATCTGCTTGTGTGAAAATATCTAGTGTACGAACAGAAGTATTCTCGACAACATCTGGACTACGACAAGGATGTATTCTCAGTCCTGTTCTGTTCATTTTCTTTATCAACGAATTAGTAGATGAAATGAATGCATGTGGCCTACGTGGAATATTTGTGAAAAATGGTATGAATGATATACTTTTATTGTTATTCGCAGATGACGTCACTCTCATTGATGACACAGTAATAGGTTTACAAAAAGCTGGATACATTAAAATCATTTTGTATCAAATGGGGTCTAGAAGTTAACTTAGATAAATCCTGCATTATTGTTTTCAGGAATGGTGGCTATCTTCGAAATAACGAAAAATGGCTTTTATGATGGTACAAACATGAAGGTTTTATCTCATTATAAATATCTTGGCATTGTTTTCACATCAAAACTGTACTGGTCTAAAGCATGTGAAACATTAGCTTTACAAGCTAGGAAGGCTTCATTTCCGATATTTTCTCTTTTCAGAACTTATCAAAATATCTCTTTGAATGTGGCATCTACTATATTTGATAGCAAATTGCACCGATTCTGCTTTATGGTGCAGAAATATGGGGTTTACCTATCGTGCAAACATTGAAAAAAATACAAAGTTATTATTTCAAAAGATATCTTCGTGTTAGCAAAACTGTATCTTCAAATATTGTACTCGGTGAAACAGGTAGAAGCCATCTTTGTGTACAGTATTTCACCCGTTGTATAAAGTACTGGTGTAGACTCCTGAATATGGAAAGTTATCGTATTCCAAAGGCATGTTATGAAATGTTAAAAACATACGACGACAATGGTGGTCGCAACTGGGTATCCCATGTACGTTTACTTTTATTTCACTCTGGGTTTTCTTTGTGTGGTTATCGCAAGATTGTGGCGATGTAACAAGTTTTATAAGTGTTTTTAAACAGAGATGTAAAGATATAGATATACAGAATTGGTATGCAAAAATCACTTCTTCATCATTCTTAAATCATTACTCATCATATAAATCTGTACTTGAACCGGAAAAATATATATCAGAGTTTTGCTATGATAAAGATCTCTTACGAGTTTTATTTAAATTCAGATGCATGAGTCATAAACTTAAAATTCAACACAAACTGTTTTAATAAGGTAAATGCTGATTCCATTAAATGTGATAAATGTAATTGTAATTTGATACAAGATGAGTATCATTTCTTACTCGTATGTCCATTTTATTCACAACAACGCTCTTTGTACATTCCTGACTTTTATATTATATCTCCAACCAGATCAAAGTTTACCCAGCTGCTTGCAACAAAGAATGTAAAACTCCTAAAAAAAAAAAATATTGCAATTTATCTTAAACTATATTTACCTGTATAAATTGTAAATTGTTCTCCTGACCATGTGCTATATTTTGCTTATTGAATTGTACTTTGGTCATGTGGCCATAAATACTGAATAAAGCTCTTCTTCTTCAAATCTCAATCTGAAATACCAGATAATGTGCTAAGTGTAGTGGAACTGAAAAGTGCTGAGATTGCAATTGTTCAGGTGATGCAGAGGAGAACATATGAACCGGAGTTGAAGGCACTTGAAGCAGCAAGGCCAGTTACAAGAAGTAGTTCTATTTATCGACTGGAGCCGATACTTAGTTCAGCTGGCATCTTGTGTGTTGGTGGAAGGCTGCAAGCAGCACCTGTGCCTGTTGAGAGCAAGCACAATATGATACTGCCAAGGGATAGCCATGTAACAACCCTAATCATCAGACATTACCATGAAGTTAGTGGTCATTCAGGTAAAGAGTATGTGTTGTCACTCATCAGACAAAGATTCTGGATACCTAAAGGGAGGAAACTGGTGAGAAAACTTCTAAACAGCTGTGTGGATTGCAACAAACGACAGAAGCTGCCCACTACTCAAAGAATGGCAGATCTGCCTAAAGACAGAGTGAGTGCAGGAGATCCAGCATTTACCATCATTGGCCTAGACTGCTTTGGGCCATTCATAGTGAAACGGGGCCGGTGTGAGATCAAACGTTATGGATGTATTTTCACATGCTTGACAACAAGGGCAATACATCTAGAGAAGTTAGATGGATTGGATACAGATTCTTTCTTGAATGGATTTGTGAGATTCTTAACACGTCGAGGATGTCCCAAGAGAGTACGTTCTGACAATGGAACTAATTTCCGTGGTGCAGAAATTGAATTGAGACCAGCTATAGCTGCCTGGAATTTGAAGACAATTGGAGACTTCATGAGTAAGAAGGAAATATGTTGGGTGTTTAACCCCCCTGCAGCTTCTCACATGGGAGGTGCATGGGAGAGACTCATAAAGACAGTTCGTAAAGTGATGAATGCTTTATTGAAAACACATAGTCCACTGAATGACGATGGACTCCATACTGTTTTTGCGAGGTTGAGTCGATTGTAAATGGCCGACAAATCACACTGGTATCAGATGATAACAGGGATGCTGAACCTCTAACTCCTAATCATCTGCTTTTACTCAGAGCAGGCCAAGATATACCTTTGGGAACTTTCCATGCTGCAGATACGTATAGAAGGCGCTGGAAACATGTTCAGTTTCTGGCGGATATGTTTTGGAAACGCTGGACGAAGGAATACTTGCCTTCACTACAATTACGCCAGAAATGGATAATACCAAAGAGAAACATTTTGGTGGGAGATATTGTGCTAATTCTGAATGAGAATTGTCCTCGGAGAAGTTGGCCTTTAGCAAGAGTCGTAGAAACCTATCCAGGTAAAGATGGACTCGTGCGCAGGGCTATGGTTCGTACAGGAAGTTTTACACTTACCAGACCCGTTGACAAGTTGTGTCTGTTGGAAGGAGACTATGATTGACCCTGTACGTGCTTTTGTGAAGCAAACTTTTATGACAAATCAGTGATCAGTATTTGTGCTGAGGGTGGCCTAGTGGTTACCGTGTTCGCTCGACACGCCTAGGACCCGGGTTCGATCCCAACATGGGTGCAGTGTGTGGAGACCATTACGTGATGTTGCTGGAGAATTGCGGAAATATTGCTGAAAGCAGCGTGGAACTAAAATTTACTCACTTTATGCAAAAGATTCATTGTGTATTTAATTTATTAAATGCTTGATTAACATATGGTTTCTCTGCGCATTTAAGGGGCCGGTATGTAAATGACAGAAAGTCACTTATGGCCTCATGCTTGTTGTGAGAGGCGACTAACGAAATCATGTGGTTGGGTTTACTGGCTTGGTGGACGCATGGCATCGTGTCCAATCGTGGAGATGGATGCTCATGATGTTGATCACTGGATTTCCTGGTTCAGACTCAGTTGTTTACATGCCATCGTCATGGTGCTATACAATTACTCAGTTTGAGCAAAATAGAAACCCAAAACAAATCACACGCCACAGCGTATTCATAATTATTCAATTATTTTCTCGCACAAAAGTGTCAGGTTTGCAATGTAAAAATATGGGTTATTAGTTTTCTTTATCACAGGACTGATGATCCTGTTACGCTAACAGACAGACAGTCACTTTTGTTTATTTAGCGGTATGCGGTTAAATGGCTTAGTTCTGAACAGGAGTGGTAACTGCGGGTGGAGGGCATGAGGCAAGAAAAGCATGCAGTATGGCGTGAGAGGACAGTGTGCATCGCTGTGGGGGAGAAAATGATGTACGAGTACGGCTTCTTCAGATGTATTGATTCTGCCATGAAATTTGTGAGTAATATGTTTGTATATGCATGTATGGTATATGAATTTATGAAAGTATGATTTATATAAGTTCACTTAGTAGCCCAAATCGTTTTGATAAGTTACCACAATGGTGTTGTGAGGCGTGCGTGACCACCTATCTTGAATGATAAGGAATATTAAGATAATAAGTGAATTTGTATTGTATAAAGCGTCGTTTTGGACATAAGGGTATTTTAATAAGGTTACATTTTGTATGGTTTTAGTTTGAACCTGCTTCATGTGATATGATTATTGAAGTGTACTACGTAAAACTATCACGGAATAAAGCAGTGTCTAAGAATCTGGCAGAATCGGATATTGTTGACTATTGAAAGTGACACTCCCGTTGTTCTCGCGTATTAGAGGGAAAGGGGTGCGGAAACATTGAGATGATGTTTGAATGTAAATTGAATTTTACGTTCAAACTGC